TTGCTGCGTCTTGGCCACCTGCCACTCTAGCAGGGTTTAGGAAGCCAGAGCTGATGTTGTGAGCATGCTATATATGTATACACATATATATGTAATCATTTATATCAATTCATATAATAAGAATTATACAATACACACAAGTGGGATTTTTCCTGGAATGCAAGAATGCTTCATCATAGTAAAATGCATTGGTATCATGCACCACGTTGGAGAAGGAAATGGCAACCCACTCCAGAGTTCATGCCGAGAGAATCCTGTGGACAGAGGAGCCAGGTGGGCTGCTGTTCATGGGGGTCTTACAGAGTTGGACACGACTGAAGCGACTTAGCAAGGAAGAAAGAAAGCAAGCAATGCACCACATTCACATAACACATCAAAAAACCATGATCTCAATTAATGCAGAGAAAGCAATTTAAAAACTTCAAAACCTTTTCATGATTAAAAAAAAAAAAAACTTGACAAATAACACTTAAGGAAACTACCACCATAAAGTTAAAGTCCCTGATGGCTCAGCAGTAAAGAATCTGCCTGCAAAGCAGGAGATGCAAGAGACAGAGGTCTGATCCCTGGATCAGGAAGATCCACTAGAGGACAAAACATCAACCTACTCCACTATTCTTGACTAGAGAGTCCCATGGACAGAGGAGACTGATGAGCTACAGTGCAAAAGTTCGTGAAGAGTCAGGTGTAGTCAGTTCGACACAACTGACTACACACAGACAAGTGAAACTCACAGCGAACATCACAGCCAGTGATGAAGACTGAAAATTTTTCCGTTGAGATTAGGAAACACATAAGAATGCTAGGTTTTGCCACTTCAATGCAACACAGCACTGAGAGTCTTAGGCATAACAGTCAGGAAAGATAGACATACAGACAAACAGATACATCAGTGACATTTCAATCTGAAAAGAGGTAGAATTATCTATGTCTACCCATGACATGGTCTCAAGGGTAGAAATCCTAAGTATGCCACAAAAAATAATATGTAAATAAAAATGTAATTCAGCAAAGTAACAAGGACATTCACCAAAGTCAATGCTGAAAATCAGTGGCATTTCTGTACACTAATGATCAAAGTGAAAAGGAAATTAAGAAAATAGTTTTGTTTACAATTGTTTCAGAAAGAATAAACTACTTAGTGATTAACTTAACAAAAAATGTGAAGACATACATAGTGAAATGTCAAACTTTGTGAAGACATTAAATGACACAAATCCTGTTTTCATGCACTGGAAGACTTATTGCTAAGATATCAATACTAACCATTGCAATTTACAATTCCAAGGCAATCCTGATCAAACCTCCACCTTAAATGCAAATGCCTATCCTAAAACACTTTACAACTAATATACCCCAAAATAGCCAAACAATCACAAGAAGAAAACGTAATATGCAAGAATACAGTTACTGATTTCAAAAATTACTGCAAAGCTATAGTAATCAAAACAGCTTGGTACTGGCATGGACCACAGCCTTGTAATGATAAAGGGGTTTTCACAACTCAGTGAAGCCATCAGCCATGGTATACAGAGTCACCCAAGATGGATGGGTCATAATGAAGAGTGCTAACAAAAAATGGTCCACTAGGGGATGAAATGGCAACAAACTTCAGTATTCTTGTCTGGACCTCACCATAAACAGTAAGAAAAGGCAAAAAGTTATGAAACTGCAAGTTGAGCCCCCCAGGTCAGAAGGCATTCAGTATGCTAAACTAGGGAAGAGTGGAGGGCAACTACTAACAGCTCCAGAGAGAAAGAAGTGGCTGGGACAAAGCAGAAATGATGCCCAGATGTGAATGTGTCTGGTGGTGAAAGTAAAGCCTCATGCAGTAAAGAACAGTATTGCATAGAAACCTGAAATGTTAGGATCATGAATCAAGGTAAATTGGATGTGGTGAAGCAGAAGATGGCAAGAGTGAACATCGACATCTTAGGAATCAGTGAACTAAAATGGACTGGAATGGGTGAATTTAATTCAGATGACCATTATATCTACTACTGTGGGCAAGAATCCCTTAGAAGAAATGGAGTAGGCCTTTTAGTCAACAAGAGAGTCCAAAATGCAGCACTTGGGTGCAGTCTCATAAACGGCAGAGTGATCTCTGTTCGTTTCCAAAGCAAACCATTCAATATCACAGTAATCCTAGTCTATGCCCCAAACACTACTGCCAAACATGCTGAAGTTGACCGGTTCTGCGAAGACCTACAAGACCTCCTAAAACTAACACCAAGAAAAAAAAAAAAAAAGGAAAAGAATAGATGTCCTTTTCATCATAAATGATTGGAATACAAAAGGAGGAAGTCAAGAGAGTCCCAGAATAATAGGCAAGTTTGGCCTTGTAGTACAAAATGAAGCAGGGACAAGACTAACAGAGTTTTCTCAAGAGAACATGCTGGTCATAGAAAACACCCTTTAACAACAACACAAGAGATAACTCTATCCATATACATCACCAGATGGTCAATACGAAAATCAGATTGATTATATTCTTTGCAGCTGCAGACGGAGAAGCTCTACATACTCAGCAAAAACAAGACTGGGAGCTGTCTGTGGCTCAGATCATGAGCTCCTATTGCAAAATTCAGGCTTAAATTGAAGAAAGTAGAGAAAACCACTAGACCATTCAGATATGACCTAAAATCTAATCCTTTACAATTATACAGTGGGAGTGACAAACAGATTTAAGGGATTAGATCTCATAAACAGAGTGCCACCCAAAGATTCACATCAGAAAGAAGGGGCAACCTGATTGAAAAATATCTCTAACACATTACATAGAATGTCAAAAAATATTTTTCATAGACAGATGTTTATAGACGAATGAAGAAAGGAGGGGACAGAGGTGGACAGAGGTTGGGGGGTTTAGACATGGACTTTAAATCTTTGTAATGTGTCACAAGGAAAAACTTCCAGTCACTGGCTCACCTTGCATTTTTATTTGTCCTGGATTTTTACTTTTTCCAAAACATGTTCTCTGTGTGTGTGTGTTGCTCAGTCATGTCCGACTCTTTGTGACCCCATGGGCTCTACCCCACCAAGCTCCCCTGTCCACGGAATTCTCCAGGCAGGAATACTGGAGTCCGTTGCCATTTCCTGATGAAGACTATCTAGGAAAGGGCCCCTTTTAAAAGGGGCAGTGTGTTTGTCATTAGCAGAAAAACACAGAGGCAGAAGATGGGTGGATACAGGTCTAAGTCAGGCAGTGCCCTCTGGTGGCCCTATGGGGCTCTGTGATTCCTTGTGCAGAAACAGTCTGAATGTTTCATTCTAAACTACCTGCCTGCAATGCAGGTGACCCAGCTTTATTACCAGGGTTGGGAGATGAAAAGCATGTCAATATATTTTAAAGAAATTCTCTCAAGTTTACAAAACATGTTCTGAGGAAGTTTAACTTGAAAAGGACTCTTTTGAATGGGGCAGTCAGTCTGTTATGTGGCTCAGTCAGGTCTGACTCTTTGCAATCCCATGGACTGCAGCACACCAGGCTTCCCCGCCCTTCACCAACTCCCGGATGGTACGCAAACTCATGTCCATTGAGTCGGGAATGCCATCCAGCCATTTTGTCCTCTGTCGTCCCCTTCTCCTACCGCCTTCAATCTTCCCTAGCATCAGGGTCTTTTCCAATAAGTTGGTTCTTCGTATCAGGTGGCCAACTTATTGGAGTTTCCGCTTCAGCATCAGTCCTTCCAATGAATATTCAGGATTGATTTCCTTTAGGATTGACTAGTTGGATCTCCTTGCAGTGTTTGCCCTAAGCAGCTACACACTGCCCTCTGGTGGCCCTGTGAGAAAGAGCAGGAGCACTGCAGGGCTCCATGGGTCTGTCTGCCAAACAGGCCAAGAATCAGTTGCCACCTTCACAGTCTTGCTGTGAGAGTAAACCAAATTCTGCAAGTCTCAATGTTTGGGGGCTGCCGTCTAGTTGAAATCATTGTCTTGACTATGACACAATACATCACTTTAAAAGTGCAGAATTTCAGAGAATGATGGTTGAGCCCCTGAGTTAGGCCCTGGGACCACAACAGAGAATAGAGACGAGGTAGGAACCTCTTGGGACCTGCAGGGAAAGGGTGGGAACCTCCTGGGTGGGATCACTTGCCTATACCCCAGCTCTGTATGTTTAGTGTAGAGATTAGTCTATCTAACCAAAGAATTTTTATAGCTTTCTTCTGATTATATTAACAAAATATTTTAGAAAGTTGGGGAAATATCATTCAAAATAGTCTGCCTAATTTCACCTACAATTTCATAGCATTTAAAAAAAATGGGATTACCTGATATTACCTGTGAACTTTTCACTGCATATGAGCAATTATTGTATCTATTTATAAAGTTAAAAGATGTGAATTTAATAGCTGCAAATGTTCCTTATGATACTTTGTATGACAGGACCTGTTTCTACAGCACCTGATGCCAGCTTCCTCTGAATATATCTTGTTCATCTCTGAAAGTGGAGTCCAGAACCTATCAGCTCCAGGCATCGTCCAAATCTAGTATCATTCCTTGAATTTTCAAAGCAGGTTCTCTTATGTCATTTCTGCTAGGACAGCAGGCCCTTCATACCATGTCTCCTCTCCTTTAAGAGCTCCTGCCAGACCAAGACACTGCTCAATCAATTCTCTGTCTGCTCTGTGCACAGTACAGATTGTATGGTAAATATTCAATAGAGATTTGAAACACAATAGATCTAAATGAGTTACTTGTTATTGCTGATGTCATCCTAAAATTATAAATAAATTCCAGAAAACAATCAGTGTTACCTGAAGCAAAAGGACAGGGTACTGTCCGCAAGGTTTGCAAGCTGGGGACACACAATTCTTGCCTGTAACTGAAAGCACATTCCCGGGGCTGAAGGGAGGGAAGAACTTTTAAAAAGCAAAAGCCCTAGAATGCTCAGCTGGGAGACTTGTAAGGGGGTTAAATGGCCCTGTGCAGCCTAAGCACAAATCCGTGCGTGCATCCCAGGAGCAGAGACCTCTTTACACCTGCCGACCCACCGCGCCCGACGCGCACACCGCGGCCCCAACGTCGGGCTCCTCGGCTGCACCTCCCCGTTCTGAACTCGCGAGCCCATGGCGACCGAGTCCAGGCCACGCCCACAGACCCAGAGGCCGCCCCCCGCGGTCGAGGGGCGCCAAGCAGGGAGGGCTGCGAGTGCGCGGGGCGCCCACTGCTCCACGACCACTTTGGGGCACCGGCCCGGCGTCCTCACCCTGTAGCCGGTGGCAGCGACCCCGGAGCCGAAGACCGAGCGAGGCTCGCGCTCCTCGAGGCTGGAGGAGTCCGGGGCCGCTGGCCGTTGGGCAGGTGGGGGCGCATGGTTAGAGAGCTGCACTTACTCATGTCTGCTCTGCTTCCCGGTCGGGGGCGTTTCGCAGTGGGGACCGACCCAGTCTCCAACTTCCCTTCCCTCAGGACCGGCCCTGGGAGCTCTGGCGTCCCTGTGCCTCCGCCCTCTCACCTATTGCCGCTGACGCCTGCGCACTGGCACCTGCATCCGCTCACGCCTGCGCCCTCGCTCCAGGGCCAGTGGGGGTGGGGAGGGGCTTTTGTCAACCTCAGGACTTCTAGCTGGAATATCCTTATTTGACATTTCCTTAAAGTGTTTGACTTGATATCAGTTTTTTAAAAAATAAATGTCAAGTTTTCTTATCCTAATCATAATTTCATGACTATAGATTGTCTTTGTAAGATTTCTTTAAGAATAATAATTTCTACTTGGTCAACTGAGTCAGATCATAGGTACCAAAATAATATATTGCTTCTATAAATTTTCAGTCAATAGGTTTTAGCCTGTGAAGTCTTATTTAGTGTGTGTGTGTGTGTGTGTGTGTGTGTGTGTGTGTGTTACTACTAATCAGCCTTGGCAGGGGCAGTCTTGAGATGAAGGGAGAGTTAGGATCTCCTAGGCTAGGGCTGTCTCCCTGCCACATAGTTTGCCGTGGCAATCACAGGTCCTAAGCCCGCAGGATGTTTTGGACTGTGGAGGAGGTTCTCTGGGTGTGCACACAAGCATGCACTGACACGCATCAGAGGAAGGGGCCGCAGGGAGTGGGCTCAGGCGAGGGGTGGACCGTGGGGCGGCAACAGTGACAGAAACGTGCATCATTTTTCCTTGGACTAAGGCAAAGGCCACCTTGTTGCACCTCATATGGAAACAAGGGCAGAACACCTGCACTGGCTGTGGTGAGGAGTCCTCAGAAGGGAATTAGACACCCCACGGCTGAAGTGGACAAGAGGAGGTGGAGGGCCTCTTCAAGGACCATCTCAAAGCCCCTGGCTCCTGTGGATCCTGTCACATCCCCTCCTGGGGCCCAAGGAGTGTTGGTGACCTCAAGTCTCTCAGAGGTGTGGTTTGTGCTGTGGTTTCCCTGCTTGGTGTGTGGTATGAGTGGTTCCCGTCAAAGGGGTGATGTGTCCAGTACTGGGGTGAGGAGAGTGTCCCTTGCACTCCTACACATTCCCCTGCCCCTGACATGGCCTATACCTCCTCCTATTAGCATCCGAGCTTCTCAGTGGAGGAATGGAGCCTCTTATCTATTCAATTACCAGCTGTGCCCTGAGCATTCAGTGGGGGCTGTGATGAAAAGAAGCACCAGGGTCACAGTCTGGAGGGGGAAGTGGAGAAACACAGAAGGAAGCAAGTTCTATGTTGAAAAACAGTAGGTGCCACAATGTGGTCATCAGGGACTGCACTGAGGGGACATGTCTGTCCCCAGCAGGGTAATGAGAGGATGCCAGCCATTCACACATCTGGGGATAATTATCCTAGAAGAAGGTACAAGTGTATGGACACACAGAATGTGTTTGTCCAGAGATGAAGCCAGAGGAAGCTAGTGTGGCTGGTGGGAGGTTGGGAGGACATTAGGGGACAGTGGGGAGGGAGGGGCCAGGGCCTGAATGCTTGATGGCTGTGTGAGTGGTCCATTCTGTGTGACAACATTAGCCAGTCTTGAGTGACTTAAGCAACAAACATTTATTATCTCACACTATCTGTGGACCAGGAATTGACCATGATTCACCTGGAGGCCTCTGCCAGTGTCTCCCTGTGGTCTAGGACTGTGAACTCATTGAGTCAGGACCCAAGAGCCCCTCTGTTGTGCTCTCAATGCTAAACCACAGATGCCTCTTCGTATGGCAACAAGTAATATACAGGCTTGTTCCTTAGAGTGAGGGACCAAAAGGAGAAAAGGATGGAGAGAGAGGAAACTGCAACAAATGAAGAAGTTGAAATTATACACCTAAACTCTGGGGATTGCCAAATGGTACTGCTGCTGCAGCTGCTAAGTTGCATCAGTCGTGTCTGACTCTGTGCGACCCCATAGATGGGAGCCCGCCAGGCTCCCCTGACCCTGGGATTCTATAGGCAAGAACACTAGGGTGGGTTGCCATTTCCTTCTCCAATCCCTGAAAGTGAAAAGTGAAAGTGAAGTCGCTCAGTCGTGTCTGACTCTCACCGACACCATGGACTGCAGCTTACCAGGCTCCTCCTTCCATGGGATTTTCCAGGCGAGAGTGCTGGAGTGGGTCATTGGTGCCTTCTCTGTCAAATGGTTACAACCACTGTATATAACACTTCAGCAGTTTTTCAAAAGGACAAGCCTACAGTTTTCAGTCAATCCCAAAATCCCCCGCCTACATCAATACCCAAAAGCATGTGAATACACATATTCACATGCCTGTACACAAGTATTCAGAGCACCACTGTTCAGAAGAGCCCAAAGGTGAAAACTCTCATGTCCATCAACAGATGAAAGCCAAATGTGCTGGTTCCTGAATGGAATATTATTTAGCAATGAAAAGAGTAAAAATGTTCCCAAATAGACATTTAATAGGGTTATGTAACATTCTGAATGAACTTATTGTAATTTACATGAACAATCGAAGATATTCAAACTATTAAATTTTAAGTTAACTTTATATCATAAACAATTTAGTATACATTAAAAAAAATACCAAAAATGGACTTACTCTAACTCTGGAGCTCTGGTGGGCAGTAGAGGTGTAGTTGGCTCTAGGTCTGGAGATGTTTCCAGAGCTTGTTCTGGAGCTGGTGCTGTAGTTCCAAGGAGAGAAAACATCAATAGGACTGCTTTTCCACGTGTCTCCCAAAAACAGAAAAGAAAGCTTTTCACTGCCACTCAATGATCTCTCAAAGATGCCAGCCCCAGAAAGTCTTCCCAGATTGCAGTCCAGGGCAATAGTGATCTGAGCTTCCTCATTGCTCCTGGCCCAGATCCAGCCTCAGAAGGTTCTGCTCTGTGGTTCAGCTCCCTTCCATTCTCATTTGCTCCCACCACATCCCCCTCTGCCTCAGTGGGCTCCAGGGTCTCCAGCTATGCCAGGAGATGTAGGGTTTGGTGCTCCAGGTCTGAGTCAGGCATGCTGAGCTCTATTTAAGCCAGTAGCATCCTCAGGAAGGGAGACTCTGGGGGCTGGTAGAAACCCTCAGGTTAATGGTACAGCTAGGTGCCCAGGATGGTGGACATGGCCCTAGGGGGAGTCAGGTGGGCAGAAGAGTCAGAGACCTGGCCTTCCTTCCACACTGAGCTCCCGAGCAGCCCTGTGGGGTCTGGGACTTTTTGCCTTCTGCTCCTGCCCATTCAGAGGCCAGTTCTCCTCCATGTCACATCTCACTTGGTGGTTCTTTGGAAAACTGAGTCCCTCCTTCATGAATCAAAGTCCCACTCACATTTTCAGCTGGTGTAGGGGTCCACTGTCCTCATCAGAGTAAGGGAGGATGCAGCCATACCTAGAGGAGGCCAGGAAGGCATCACATGGACAGTACTGGAGACACGCCCAGATGTGATGGCCAGTGTGACAGTGTGACCCCCGGGAGAACTGAAGCCCTGGAGCGCAGGACTGCTGTCTGCTCAATGTATTACATGATGGTTGTTCCTAGAAAAGTGCCTGCACCTTGTGGGCCTTCCTGTATATTTCAAGAATGAATGAGCCCAACCAGCCCCATCTGAGTACCTGGGGCACTACTGATCACTCCCAGGGAGCCCTGCTCTCACTCACCCAAGACAGGGCACCTCTCACAACTCACCTTGCAAATGGGAATCAGTTTGGCCCAAGGTCAAAAGTCAGAGAAAACTGAGACAGAGACTTCCTTGAGGGGAGGAAGAACATGATGACTAAGTACAATCACAGTCCCTCCAGTAGACTTTTCCATGGGGCCAGGTCCCCAGAAAGCACTTTCCAACTTGCCAGGAAGGACCCACTTAGTCCCCACATTTACCCTGAGGGTTGGTTCTCCCTTTGCCCTTGTGTGCAGAGGGACCAACTGGGGCTTAGAGAGGTGGAGAGATATTCCTGTGACTCCAGCTGGAATGGGACCAACTCCCCTGTGTACCATAGGTGGAGGAAAGTGCTCACCTTGTGAAGAAGGTCCAGCACCTGCTTTGTTCTTGTTGTTCAGTCATTTGTCTGACATTTTGCAACCCTGTGGGTGGGAGTACATTGGCTCCACTGTGCTTCACCATCTCCTGGAGTTTGCTCAAACTCATGTTCATGGAGTCAGTGAAGCCATCCAACCATCTCGTCCTCTGTTGTCCCCTTCTCCTCTTGCCTTCAATATTTGCAGTATCAGAGTCTTTCCCAACGAGTTGGCTCTTTGCTTCCATCAGAATATTTTCCAGTGAGTCAGCTCTTCCCACCAGGGGGCCAAAGTATTGGAGATTCAGCTTCAGCATCAGTCCTTCCAATGATTATTCAGGACTGATTTCCTTTAGGATTGACTGGTTTGATCTCCTTGCAGTCCAAGGGACTCTTAAGAGTCTTCTCCAACACCACAGTTCAAAAGCATCAATTCTTCGGCACTCAGCCTTCTTTATGATCCAATGTTCACATCCATCCATAGCTACTGGAAAAACCATAGTTTTGACTATATGGATCTTTGTTGGGAAAGTAATGTCTCAGCTTTTTATATGCTGTATAGGTTTGTCATAGCTTTTTTGCTTTTTATATGCTGTGTAGGTTTGTTATAGCTTTTTTCCCAAGGAGCAAGTGTCTTTAAACTTCATAGCAGCAGTGACCATCTGCAGTGATTTTGGAGCCCAAGAAAATAAAGCCTGTCACTGTTTCCATTGTTTCCTCATTTATTTGCCATGAAATGATGGGACCAGATGCCATGATCTTACTTTTTGAATGTTGAGTTTTAAGCCAGCTTTTTCACTTTCCTCTTTCCCGTTCATCAAGAGGCCCTCTAGTTCCTCTTGGCTTCCTGTCTTGAGGGTGGTGTCATCTGCTTATCTGAGGTTATTGATATTTCTCCCAGCAACCTAAATTCCAGCTTGTGCTTCATCCAGCCCCACATTTTGTATGATGTACTTGGATGTAATTTAAGTAAGCAGGGTGACAATATAGAGTCTTGATGTACTCCTTTCCTAATTTGGAACTAGTCCATTGTTCCATGTCCAGTTCTAACAGTTGCTTCCTGACCTGCATACAGGGATCTTAGGAGGCAGGTAAGGTGGTCCGGTATTCCCATCTCTT